TTCCCAGTGGGGGACACACGAGAGGCAACCATACATTGATGTTTCTCTCCCTCTCTCCTTCCCCTCTAAAGATAAATAGATAAATAACCTGAAGTACTTACTACAGTAAGTTGGACTAGACTCAATCCCTGTACGTGTTCTACGTTCCCCAAATTCTCTAAAACATGTAATTCAAGATATAGGGCAGAGTCCATAATTCTGATTCTATTTACCCACATTCTTTATAATGCCTGACAAGACCAGCACACATCATTCCTCTTTATCTACACATCGTTTTCTCAATTTTTCCTTTTAAAGTCATATAGCAATACTGGTTTTACTAAAATTTTATTTTAAAAGTAATATAAGTAGGCTACCTTTTTTGTAGAAGAAAAAAAATATGCCTTTGCTTTTTACATGCACCCAGTATCTTGACTGGAACAACTGCAGTTGCCTATGGAAAGGGAAACTGAGAATCTGGGGGAGAGAGCAGGGGATGCTTTCCATGGCATACCTTTTTATAGCTTAATAATTTTATACAAGATAAATACATTATCTCTATTAAAATATAATTTTCAAAAGACATGGTTAAATTCCCTACTCACTCCCTGATTTCATCATTCAGGTGCAGTCACTGTTACATTTATGACTTTTCTTGACATGTTTACATATTTCATCCCCAGAGAGCTCTGAGCAGTAACTGAACTTTCTGGAGTTATAGCATCTTCTACTATTTGTTTGCATATGTACTGCCTCCTTTTGCCACTGAGAATGCCACTGAGAATACATGGAAAAAGCTGAGTCACGTCTTTCCTTGAGATAATGGAATATGATGGAGTCACGGAGCCAGCAGTATGAACCAATATTTCGGGAATAAGATCCCATGTAACAGAGCGCTGCCGGTCCTCGCACACATTCGGGGTCTTTCTCTTCTGCATATCTATCTTGGTGTCCTAGCCAGAATCATAATAAAAATATAAACCATGGGGCTGTTAAGTCTAAAACAACTACAATTATTATCTTTCAAAAATTTTTTAAAAAGCACTGAAATAAATGTGTGGCATAACTGTGTTATACATAGTATTTCTCCAAAAATACACGAGGTTATATTACAATCAGGCAAAGAAAATTACCCAGGATAAAAACACCCTGCAACAGTAATTACCATGTTGACACATTGAGCATCCACTGATAACTCTTGCCTTAATTAACTCACTTGGCAAGTACTGATTTTTCTTACATCATTCCTTCTACAGTTGTTGGCACTTGACTTCAGTGAAACTTTTCCTTCTCCATTTACTTGTTACTATAGACTCACTGATTCCTCTTTTATTCAATAGGTTATGTCCAAGTTGCCCCAGATTCTATCAGTGTGAGTCTCTGCAAACTGCTTCCTGTATCTTTCAACATGTCTGTCCCCTTTAGTTTCTGAGCCATCCCTTACTTCCTGCAACAAGGGGCTCCAGGCTCTTTCTTTCTTCTAATTATGGTAAGAACAGTTAACATGAAATCCATTCTCTTAAATTTTTAAGTGTACAACACAGTGCTGTTAACTACAGACATGATGTTGGAACTGATCTTGCATAACTGAACGTTTATACTCACTGAATAGCAACTTCCCGTTTCCCACACCCTCTCTGCTTCTATGAGCCTGACTCTCCCATTGTAGGTGGAGTGATGTGGTGTTTATCCTTCTGTGGCTGGCTTATTTCACTTAGCATAATAGCCTTAAGATTCATCTATGGTGCACGTGGCAGAATTTCCCAATTTCTGAAGAATGAACAATATTTCATTGTGCGTATAAAGCACATTTTCTTTATCCATTCACCCATCAATGGACATTTAGTTGTTTCCACAATCTGGCTATTTTGAATGCTTTAGTGAACACGGGAATTCAAATATCTCTTCAAGATTCAGTTTTTAATTCTTTTGGATAAATACTCAAAGTGGGAATAATTTTTTGAGGAAATTTTATATTGCTTCTCATAGCAGCTATACCCTTTCACATTCCCACCAACAGCAGACAGAATTCCAATTTCTCCACGTCCTCACCCTCACTAACACTTCATTTTGGGGGATTTTGTTTTTAAATAATAACTATCCTGACTGGTATGAGATGGTATCTCATTGTGGTTTTGATTTGCATTTCCCTGATGACTAGTGATGTTGACCAAAATCTTTTCATATCTGTTAGCCATGTGTATGTCTATAATTCATATTTACAAGTTGCTCACTTTAAAATGAGGTTATTATTTATTTATTTATTTTGCTCTTGAGTTGTAGGAGTTCTTTAGATATTGTGGATATTAACCCTTTATCAGATATATGGCTTACAAATATGTATTTTCCCATTCCATAGGTTGTGCTTTCTCTCTATTATTCTTTCTGTTGTGCACAAGTCTCTTATTTTGAGGTATCCAGGCTCATCTTACCATTTCCTGTCTCAGCCCTGGTGTTGACTGTTTCACCAAAAAGCTGTGGTTCCTTTTACAGGACAACTTATTTAAAAACCAACATTTAGGCACTAGATATGCTCTTCACTACTGGGGCTTCCAATCCTTTTTCATATGTACTGTCACCATGACTCTATAGTTGTAATCTTAAATCTTGTGTTTGCACTTTTAAATCTTCTTTCCACATTAACATAGTCTTCAAAATTTGTTAATGATTGCATAGTATTTCTTCAAGTGCAAGTAATACAATGTGCCTTTGCTTTGCTTTCTGTTTTTCATAATGAAAAAATAAACCTGAAATAAACCTTCCCATATACTGAAAACAGCCTTTTCATATTCAGGATTAAAAACTTAATTATTTGGTGAAAGGTTATTTGTTGTTCAATGGCCCTTGTTACAACTTGTAAAACTACTCTCCAAACTGAATGCCCCAAAACACAATGCACTAGATAATCAGACTATTTTACCTCATATTTCCATCCACAGTTTACTCTGCTATTTGAGAAAAATACAAGCATTTCTTAGGAATCAGACTTACAAGCAGTGCAAGATAAAATTACATTTGTGGAATGATTTCAAGTGTACCAAAGACTTTCATTTACACTTAATCCACAGCCTGTGAGCTGATACGTTTGTAAGAGGTGGAAATCTAAATTTCAGAAAGATGATTAAACCATGCACTTCCACGGTATAGTGTAATGTGTAAAAGAACGGACTCTGGCCCCCGCCCTGTGGGTCTGAATCCTGTCTGCACTGCTAACCAGTTACCATTAGGGAAGTTACCAGTATCTGAACTGCAGGGAACTGCAGGGAAGTGATTTTTCTGAACTCTTCATCCCTCAATTTCCTTGTGTATAAAATGCTGAGGATAACAGTATCTACCTACTAAGGCTATTGTGAAAATTAAATGAGAAATTATATGTAATATATAAAAGCACTTAGAGTACGTTCACATTGCTAACTAAATGTTAGTTGCTATTATCATTAAGATAGTAGTGAACTAAGTTTTGAAGGTGCCTAAATTTTGTTGCATTTATGTCAAGTGTGAGATATATGTTTCACCAGGTTCTGTGACTTACTCTCCCCAATTCTTTGAGCAGAATTTTATAAAGGAGACTCAGAGAAATAAAAAGTACTTTGCTTACTGTCACTACCATAGTAGAACAGAAATTTGAGTCTGTAGACTATGACTACAAAATCATTTTATTACCCCTTGCTGACTGGGCATATTCTGAGTTGATTCAGAATAACACAATAATCTATAAGGATGGGTCTGGTCTGGAAGTACTGAGAAAGTCTTGAGCCAGGTCTTGAAAAAAGGGTAAGATTCACATTAATGGGGAAGACAGCATTATAGGTAAGTTAATAAAAGACAGAAGACCAAAAATTAAAGGAAGGCTGCATACATTTAAGGAAGAGTAAGATCATTCTAAGTAGCAGATCTCCCTCTATAAGAGTTGATTTGTTACCTGAAAATCCACTATTTGTCAGGTGCTGTCCTAGACCCTGAAGATGTAGATATAAATTGTGTAGTAACAGGGGCACATAGATTAGCGACTTCTCTAGCCTGAAAAGTGGTTTGATAAAGGTTAGAACAGGGCACAAAAGGAGACCTAAGAGGCACCCAAATAGTGGAGATGGGAGTGTTAAGCAAGGCTTCTTTCTACAAGTGGCCCTTGAGCTGAGACAGGAGATGGGAAGTGTAGCTACCAGAGATAGGCGTGCATTCTAGGCCGCAGAGAGTGCAAAGGCATGTTAGCAGGAGGACACGGTGTTGGATAATACTGGACTAGAGGCGGCGGCCGGTAAGAAATACACAGGCCAGAATCCAAAACATCTCAAGCCAAAGAAGTGAGATTTTATCTGGAAGAGGAAGTGCTCCAGTGTCAGATTTGTAGCAGAAAAGAGTCATTTAATTACAACTAGGAGTGTGTATCTGAGACAGGTAGGGCTAAAGGCAATGACACGAACTAGGCTTTATTTTTTAACTACTAGTAAAATACCAGCAATTGTGACGAAGGATCAGTTAAGAGCGGCACTTGGTGGAAGAGCCGAGAACTTGGATTTGATGCAACAATGTACTGAAGCTCGAAGATATTAGGTCACCAGACCAAGCGGCGGAGGCTGACCTCCAATTCCAGTCCTACGAAGCCAACGCTCTGGAGGTCTACAAGGATTAAAACAGTGTACATCTACCCACAGAGCGGATGTTTGGATTAGGTGTCTTCCCTACTTCTCTTAACCAGCATTTCCAGCGCGATCGCACTTTTGTTTTCTTTCGGTTTTCCACCTCTCCCGGCCTGAGAACCCCCTCCATTCCCACAGTGGACGCCTCAGATCCACAGCCCTCACCTGGCCCGGTCGAGATCCGGACCTAACCATCTCTCGCAGTCTCAGAGAAGCCCAGGACGAAGGAAGCAACACTGCACGGTAAAACGAATTAACCGCCGAGATCAAGGACCGCCCAGGGCCCCCACTCCGGGCTTCCGCTTCCGGAAGGAGCCAGCGAAATGCCGCGCTTCTTAGTTTGCAGCCCGCGGCAGACGCCTCCTGCCTTGCCAAAGCCGGATGTACTGGGCCTGCGCAATAGACCTCTCCCGGCTCCAGCCTCTTCCAACTGGCTGCAGGTTACGAGAAGGCGAAGAAACGCGAATGGGGCGGGGCTGGGGAGGGGCCAAAGTCGGCGGGGAGCGAAGAGGGGAGGGGCCAAGGGGGCGGGACCAGGGGGAGGGGTCCAAAAGGGGAGGGTCCAAAGAAGGAGGGTTCCAAGGGGAGACAGGCCTAAGAGGGGCCGGAGGCCACAGTCCCCAGGCCGAATACCGAGACCTGGAGGAACTAGCAGAGGCTTCACCAGGATTTCTGGCGCTGCGCCACGCAAAGAACTACCGGATTGTGCAACTGGTGGAGGATTGGCGCCCCCAAGGACTCGCGAGGTCCAGAGGAAGGGAAGCGGGTAGAGGGGCGGATGGGTTTGAGAAAGAAATGCGCTGGGCTTTTTGGGTTTCGGCTTTTGAGTTTTGTTAGGTGTCTTCTGTGACATTTTGAATGATTTTCAAATAGTCAATAAACATTAGTCATTGGTCTCGCTTTCTCTGCGTAATTCTAATGGCAAGTTCAAAATTGGTCACTGTGGCCCTTGATCTCAGAATGGTGCTCATCACCTGAAAGTTGGGATCTGGTTTTACTTCCATGCATAGTTGTCTACCCTTCAGCCTAGGTAATTACTGTGAAAGAACGACACAGTATTCTTACCATGGCACGCTGCACGAATTTTAATGGAAATTAGTCCTTGGTTATAAGGTATTGATTTGGGGTTAATATTTTAAATCAATTGATTTCATTTTTCTAATTAGGAAAAAGAGCAGCCTCTTGAAAGTCAATGTAAGTTTAATTGCAAACCAATTGCAATTAAAACAAAAACCTTGGAAACTAAAAGCTATCCACTAATACATTGCACACTCATAGTGAGTGATTTTGGGAATCTGGGTATTTAGTAAATTTAGTTTTGAATTAGATTAGACTGTGAAACCTCTCTCTTCTTCATCTCTCTCCTATGTGTTTAACATGTTCAAGAAATAAAAATCCCCCATGTAATCTCGCTACCCAGATCGCTGCATTCCCTTCTAGACTTTTCCCAATTGTGTGTGCATACATAAGTATATTGCAGCAACACAATATGATCCATATAACTATAACATGAAGGTTTTCTGTCATCAGTTCATCAACGTTGTTTCTTGCTAATCTACAATTACAAAATGGCTGCCGGGTGTTCTATTTCCCTACTCTAGAATTTTATGTCCCCAACTTACATTTTTTGTTTGTTGGGTTTTTTCCTCTTTGTTTTTAAGATAATAGCTTCTGTTTTTGTTTGTTTTGTTTTGTATCCCCCCAAATTTTTTACTGTGGTTAAATACATAAAATAACATACAATGCAACACATAAAATGTACCATTTGAACAATTTTTAAGTACAATTCCATGGTATTAAATAAATTCATAATGTTGTGCAATCGTCACCACCATCCATCGCCAAAACTCTTTCATTCTTGTAAAATGAACTCAATACCCATTTAATAATAATTCCCATTCCACCCCACCCTAACCCTCAGCACCTGACAACCATGATTCTACTTTCTGTCTTTATGATATTGACTACTCCAAGTACATCATATAAGTGGGGATTTATAGTATTTGTCCTTTTGTGACTGGCTTGTTTCACTTGTCTTCAAGTTTCATCCATGAAGTAGCATGTGGGAAAATTTCCCTCTTTTTTAAGGCTAAGTAATATTCTATTGCATGCATATACCACATTTTGTTTATCCATATATCTGTTGATGTACACTTAGGTTGCTTCCACATTTTACCTAATGTGAATATATCACTATCAGCATGGTACACCAATATGTCTTCCAGACCCTGCTTTTAATTCTTTTGGTTATGAGGCCAGAATTGCTACATCATATGGTAATTCTGTTTTTAATTTTTGAGGAACCATCATATGCTTTTTCACAGTGGCTGCACCACTTTATGTTCCCATCAACAGTGCACAAGAGTTCCAATTTCTCCTCATTCTCATTAACACTTTTTATTTTCTGTTGTTTTTTTAAATAGTAGCCATCCTAATGAGTGTAAGGTGGTATGTCATTGTATTTTTCATTTCAGTTGCCCTGATGATTAGTGATGTTGAGCATCATTCCACATGCTTATTGGCTATTTCTTTAAAGAAATATCTACCAAGTCCTTTTTGCATGTTCTGGATATTAAACTCTTATATGTATGATTTGCAAATATCTTCTCACAATCATTAGGTTGATTGTTGCCTTTTTACTCTGTTGATATTGTCTTTTGATGTATATTGTCTTTTGTGTCTTTTAAAAAACAGTTTTTTATTTTCATAAGGTTTTCAATTTATCCATTGTGTCTTTTGTTGCCTGCATCTTTAGTGTCATATCCAAGTAATAATTGGAAAATTTAATAACTGTGAGTTTGCTGTCCTTTCACTGTTCATCTTTTTTATCTTCTTTTTATTAGATAAGTCCCTTTAACATTTCATATAATAAGGGCTTGGTGATGATGAACTCCTTGAATTTGGTCTTATCTGAGAAGCACTTTATCTGTCCTTCCATTCTAAATGAAAGCTTTGCTGGATAGAGCAATCTTGGATGTAGGTCCTTGCCTTTCATGACTTGGAATACTTCTTTCCAGCCCCTTCTTGCCTGTAAGGTCTCTTTTGAGAAATCAGCTGATAGTCTGTTGGGAACTCCTTTGTAAGTGACTGTCCCCTTATCTCTTGTTGCTTCTAGGATTCTCTCCTTCATTTTAATCTTGGCTAATGTAATTATGATGTGCCTTGGTGTGTTCCTTCTTGGGTCCAACTTCTTTGGGACTCTCTGAGCTTCCTGGATTTCCTGGGAGTCTATTTCCTTTGCCAGATTGGGGAAGTTCTCCTTTATTATTTGTTCAAATAAGTTTTCCATTCGTGGCTGTTTCTCTTCCCCTTCTGGTACCCCTATAATTTGAATGGTGGAATGTTTAAAGATGTTCTGGAGGTTCCTAAGTCTCTCCTCATTTTTTTGAATTCTTGTTTCTTCATCCTTTTCTGTTTGGTCATTTTTTTCTTCCTTCTGGTCCACTCCCTTGATTTGAGTCCCAGTTTCCTTTCCATTACTATTGGTTTCCTGTGCATTTCCCTTCATTTCAATTAGTTTAGCCTTCATATGTTCCTCTAATTTGTGACTAAAATCAACCAGTTCTGTGAGTATCCTGATCACCAGTGTTTTGAACTGTGCATCTGAAAGTTTTGCTGTTTCTTCATTGCTTAGAGTTATGGGCTCTGGGGCTTTGAGTTCTCCTTGAGCCATAATGTTTTGCTCTGTTCATGCCTGTTATATATGAGGAGCAGAGCCTCAGGTGTTCACCAGGGTAGGGCCACCCAGGTCATTGGTTTGTGATGCTTTATGTGGGGGCGGGGTCAGAGAGGGACAATAGAGGTCCCCTCTGCAGCTTCCTGCTGCTGGGGCCTGCGCAATCGTCTCACTGCTCGCTCCTTCACTGGTTTATCTGCGAATGTGTGACCGTGGTCAGCCCTCAGTAGGTCTGCCCGCTACTCCACACCTGGGGTCCACCCACGGCTGCCTGTGCACCTAGTTCGAGCACCTGAGCCTGGGTCAGTCCTGTGGATCTTTCCTGCCCAACCCTGCTCTGCCGCTGGCTCTGCCCCTCTTACCGGTTTAGCTGAAGGGTTTGTTGTTGTCAGACTTCCGTATATTTCAATTTTCTGTGGTTTGGCTGTGTTTTTGTTGCTAAAACTTTGTTGTTTTTAAACTTGGTTGTGTGAGAAGGCACAATGTTTCCACCTATGCCTCCATCTTGGCGGAAGTCCAATAATTGGAAAATTTAATGTCATGAAGCTTTGCTCTGTTTTCCTTCTAAGATTTCTATAATTTTAAGTCTCACATTTAGGTGTTTAATCCATTTGTGGTTGATCTTTGCATAGGGTGTTAGGTAAGAGTCCAACTTTATTCTTTTGCATGTGGATATCCATTTTCCGAGTATCATTTGTTGAGAAGACTGGTATTGGCCTCTTGTCAGAAATCATTTGATCGTATATGTAAGGTTTTATTTCCTGGCTCTCTATCTATTCTTCTGGTCCATATGTCTGCTTTTATGTCAGTACTGTGCTGTTTTTGTTACAGTAGCTTTGTAGTAAGTCTGAAATAGAAGGAAGTGTGAATGCTCCAGCTTTGTTCTTCTTTTTAAAGATTGCTTTGACTATTTAGGGTTCCTTGAGATGTCAAATGAATTTCAGGATGAGTTTTTCTGTCTCTGCCAAACTGTCGCTATGAATGCAATAGGGATTGAATTGTAAATACTTTGAATAACATTTTTTGTTGAAATTTTTAGTATTTTCTACATATAAGATTATGTAATCTGTGGACAAATATAATATTACTTCTTTCTTTCCAACTTGTTGAAAAGACTGTCCTTTCCTTATTTAATGTTATCGACCTCTTGTCAAAAATCATTTGACCATATATGTAAGGGTTTCTTTCTGGGCTATCTATTCCTTTGGTCCATATGCCTTATAAATCAATAAAATTTAAGCCTTTCCTTTTTAAAAAACAGCTTTTTTCTAGGTTTGTAGTTTTTTAAATTGGGGAAACAATTATCTGATCTGTTTTGTCTTACAGTCTTTTCCCTTCAATCATTGGATACGTTACCACAGAATCAATTACAGGAGTCACTAAAGGGCTAGGAATTACTACAGAGTAAAAATGAAGAGCTTTTAAAAGTGATAGAAAATCAGAAAGGTGGAAACAAAAAATTTGCTGATATATTTAAAGAGAAAGATCAAACTATACTTGAAAATAAACACCAATTTGACATTGAAACAACTAGAGTTAAAATTGGTATGTATTTGAACTGTAGTTATGGTCACGTTTTTTAAAATGAATAAGGAAACTGAACCTCACTTGTTGTTTTAGAATTGGAGGAAGCCTTAGTCAATGTGAGGAGCTGCCAGTTTAAGTTAGCAGCTACTGAAAAGGAAAATCAGATATTGGGAGTAACATTACGTCAGCATGATGCCGAGGAGACTCGACTGAGAGACTTAACGAGGTAATATTGAACATTTGAGTAACTTACTCCTTCTAATAGGTATACCTATGAACTTTGACATCATTTTAGACCTGCTCTCTTTCCCCCTTATTTTGTCAGTGTTTTTGCTAATTTCTGCTGTTTTTTATTCTGTCCTTACTATTAATTTAGAAACTTTTAAACTGATCAATGTTTTTTGTAATTCCAGGAAAAGGGCTCTGATGAGGTAAAGCCTTGTTTAGCAAACAGGTTAAGAGCTGTCTTGCTCTACAGCTAGAGAGACCTGAGTGGAATCCCAGCTCTACCATGTTTTAGCTATATGACTTTAATCAAGCTATAAATCTCTCTAAGTTTAGCTGTCAAGTGGAGACATGAATAGGGCTGATATCGGGACAAAGAAGTAACAGGAGAAGCCCTTACCATACTAAGCCCTCACCATACTAAGCCCTCATGCCATAAGATCTTGGGTATGTCATTTAGACTCATTGAGCCTCGTTCAACAGTAAAATGAAAGAGTTGGCAGCTCCCCTTAAGATTCCTACATTCTTGGACAAGGCTTTACTCAAAATTACCTCAGCCAATTTCATATGATATGTACTTACAAAGTTTAGTTTTCTCTTTAAATATTTGCTAAGAATTGGGTTTTCAAGTGCTTTTTAAGATTGCAGAAGAGAAGTCAGTTATTTTAGGCCTGAATATCTTCACATCTGACCATGCCTTTGAATGATTCTGGAAATTCATAGTTCCAAATATAAAGCCATCTGGAATATCAAACAGTCTCCTTTGTATTTCAAATGAGAGGATCCATTTTGAATTATCAACTTTAAGGAAAATAGGTAAAATAGTAATATACATGTAATATTTAATGTATTAATTTAGTTTTGCAAACATTTTAGATCATTTTATATAAGCTATGTTAGCACAGAAATACTGCTTTCAGTCCACTTTCATATTTCAAAGAGTAATTTCATTCAAACATTATTAACAGTGGGAAAAATAAAAGACACTGCTTATTTCCACATAGTGCTATAATTAATTAGGCTTTAGTCAGTGTTTGTAAAATGTTGGCTTATACCACTCTCATCCAAAGTAAAGCAATTGAGAGAATTTCCTTTCTCAAGAAAGTCTTTATAAGGTTTCCTAAGAAAAAGCATCTCTTCTGAAAATACTTTTTGAGTGAAAACTCAGTTGTTATCAAGTATTTATGGTAAAAGAAGCCAGTCACAAAAGGCAACATATCCTGTGAATCCATTTGTATGAAATGTCCAGAATAGGGAAATTCATGGAAATAAAAAGTAGATTAATGGTTGCCAAGGGCTGAGGAAAGAGGGGAAGAATAGGGAGTAACTGCTAATGGGTATAGACTTCCTTTTTAAGGTGATGAAAATGTTCTGAAACTAGATAGAGGTGATAGTTGTCCATCTCTGAAATACTAAAGAATATTAAGTTGTATGTTTTTGAAAGGTATATTAAATATACTATATAAACTATGTCTCACTAAACTTAAAAATGAAGTATATATGGTGTATGGCCAATTTGGGAAAGTGTAACAGGACCTCAAGTCGACATGGCCAAGGTCCGTTTGTGGTCACTTGGGTGTCACTGAGAGCATCTCTGCACTTCTAAGGTGCTTGATTCTCAGCCCCAAGCAGAGAATGAAGCAGAGGACCTGGTCCCTGGAAGTTTCCTTTTCTTTTCACCATTTGTTCTTTATCATACCACAAAGGCCAGCTTCTTTATGAGCATGAAATCAGAAGCTGATTTTTTTTAAAAGTCCTCTCTCTTCCATATGTATTGTTTTATTTGTCCTCATCTATGGAAGGAAGATTTTAAGATCAGCATTTTCATGGGTGGGGACAACTGGGACCATGGAATTTAAATATTAATAGAAATTTAGTAACAGGGCTGGGACTAGAACTCACATCTCTTAGTTCCCAGGCCTGTTTTCTTTCAGTCTTGCACATGTCATGGCCTGAGATAAAATAGTTTATCCCTGGTAAACGTCTCCATGCCTAAACCTTAGCATTTTTCAGCTTAGCCTAAGCCTGGGAGATGGATGGATAAATAGATAGATTTATTTGCTTATTCACTTATTCAAATAACATTTACTGTATATTATGTTCTGAACATGTATGTGTGACTTTGTGATCACCTAAATAAAGTAACATATCACCAAGCAAAAAACGTTTTCTAGTGCTTTGTACAGAGATAACATCTTTTTAAAGGATAAAATGGACTGAAAACTATTTAACATGGATGGTACATTTGTGAAGAAAATTAATAAAAGTGTAAGAATAGTTTCAAAATAAATGGTAGTATAATTATTCCAGAAGTTAGCATAAATGGAAGCCCCGCAAATGAAGGAACTTACCTGACTTTCATAGCTAGTTGGTGCCTAAGCTAGGACCTGAGCCAAGATTTTGGATTCCCTCTTCAGCCTTGCTTACTGCTTTGAAAGGACAGCTTCTCTTGGAGAGAAGATGACTCATTATTGAGAGGTTTTTCTGCCTTTGTAGAAGATACCTTTGTACCCGCATATTCTTTCAAAGTAGACAGTCTGCCTTTTCCAGCATCTGTTAGGAATGAAGAAAGATTTGCTTGCAACTGGAGCCATTTTATCCATTCATTCATTCATATTTTTAAAGTATTTTATATTGATTATGCTACTACAATTTTCCCCTTTATCCCCCTCTGCCCTGCCACCCAAACCTCCAGCAGTCTCCACCTTAGTTCATGTCCACAGGTTGTACATGTAAGTTCTTTGAGTCCTGTTTCCTATACTATTTTTTATCTATTTTATGCCTACCAATTATGCTTCTTCTTCCCTGTACATTTTACCTCCTATTCCTCCCTTCCCCCTCCCCACTGAAATATCTCCATGTGACGCCCATTTCTCTGATTCTGTTCTTGTCCTATTGTTTGCTTAGTTTTTGTTTTCATTGTTTTTCTTTTTCTTTTAGGTTCATTTGTTGATAGTTGTGAGTTTATTGTCATTTTATTGTTGATATTTTTTATCTTCTTTTTCTTAGATAAGTCCCTTTAACATTTCATATAATAAGGTCTTGGTGATGATGAACTTCTTTAACTTGACCTTATCTGGGAAGCACTTTATCTGCCCTTCCATTCTAAATGATAGCTTTGCTGGATAGAGCAATCTTGGATGTAGGTCTTTGCCTTTCATGACTTGGAATACTTCTTTCCAGCCCCTTCTTTCCTTCAAGGTTTCTTTTGAGAAATCAGCTGATAGCCTGCCTTATGGGAACTCCTTTGTAGGTGACTGTCTCCTTTTCTCTTTCTGCTTTTAAGATCCTCTCCTTATCTTTAATCTTGGGTAATATAATCATGATGTGCCTCAGTGTGTGCTTCCTTGGGTCCATCTTCTTTGGGACTCTGTGGGCTTCCTGGACTTCCCAGAAGTCTATTTCCTTCACCAGATTGGGGAAGTTTTTCTTTTATTATTTGTTCAAATAAGTTTTCAATTTCTTGCTGTTGTTGTTCTCCTTCTGGCACCCCTACAATTCGGAAATTGGAACGTTTCTGGTTGTCCCAGACGTTTGTAAGTCTCTCTTCACTTTTTCGAATTCTTGTTTATTCATTCTGTTCCAGTTGGATGTTTATTTTTCCCCTTTGTTCCAAATTGTTGCTGAGTACTGGTTTCCTTCCTGTCACTGTTGGTTCCACGAATATTTTGCTTTATTTCATTTTGGATATCTTTTGTTTGTTTTTTTCATTTTTCATCTAAGCTCAATCAGATGTGGGAGCATTTTTTTTTTACTTAATTATTTTTCAAGTGCAGTTTTCTGTCTTTTATCCCATCCCAGCGCACTCCACCGTGCTCCCCACCTCCCTCCCACTTCCACCCCCTTAACCATTGTCCATGTGTCCTTTATACTAGTTCTTGTAAATCCCTCCCCTTTTTCCCCTTAAATTCCCTCCCCTCTCCCCTCTGGTCACTGTCCCCCTGTTCTCTATTTCAGTGTCTTTGTTTTTATTTTGCTTGCTTGTTTGTTTTGTTGTTTAGCTTTCTGTTAAAGGTGAGATCATATGGTATTTGTCTTTCAACACCTGGCTTATTTCACTCAGCATAATACTTTCTAGTTCCATCCATGCTGTTGCAAAGGGTAGGAGATCCTTCTTTCTTTCTGCTGCATAGAATTCCATTGTGTATACGTACCACAGTTATTTGATCCATTCACTTACTGACGGGCACCTAGGTTCATGTGGGAACATTTTGATTATCAGGGCTTTAACTTCCCCATCAGATAGGTTGGCTGTCTCCTTATCACTTAGTTTTCTTTCTGAAGTTTTGCTCTGTTCTTTCATTTGGGTCATATTTCTTTGTCTTGGTGCATCTGGTAAGTTGGAAGGGGGTGGGTCCCTAGGTATTCACCAGGGCAGGGCAAACCTCCTTCATGCACTGCAGGGCTGCCTGTGGGGGAGGGGCCAGAGAGGGAACAATGCAGCTTGCCTGCTCCTCTGTAGCCCACTTTCCAACAATCGCTTGAAACTGGGAGTTCCTCCTGCCACAGCAACCACCATAGTCCACAGCCACCTCCAAGTCTCAGTTTTGTTTTCAGCCATCCCCACCTGCCCACCTGGTCCTCCACCTCTACCCAATTTTTCTGAGCCAGCCCATGTGGTCTGCCACCTTAGTGATCTGGTTGTTCTGTTGATTTTTTCTTTAATTCCTTGTTTGTTGGACAGAGTTCCTGTAATTCTAAAGTAGGTTATCTTCTTTTTGCAGTTGAGGAACTTGAGATTCAGAAAAGTTGAGTGACTTGTCCCAGATTCCAGCTAGTGATAGTGTTAGGATTGGATTCATTTTTTTTCTGACTTCAAACTCTGTGTGGTTTTCCTTAAACCACATTTTTCCTGGTACCTAGTTGTTATATATACTGATTTATTCCAGGTAATGTCTAACCATTCTTTTTTTTTTTTTTTAGTATTACTCCAGCGGCCTTTGAATATATATTTGAAATGGAGATTAGTAACTTAATTACTAACAATATCCACTCTCAAATGAGTAGTGTGTTGACTAGTTTGCAATGATTCTCAGGAATAAAGCATCTCCATAGCAGAAAACAAAAAAATTTCCAAGCCCCTATTTTTAGACATAATATTAGAATTGATGCACACCAAGGTCTTTCATCATTTATTATTTTAATTTACTGTTTCCATAGCATATCCCATACTACTGTGCTTTTAGTTGCTTTTCCCCATATTAAACACCAGGCACTTCCCTCTCATCCTTTCTTTTAAAGGTGAGGCATATATAAGTAAATGGAAGAAATGGGTAAACAAGCTAATGTACTAAATTTCTTTCTAACAGAACTTTACAGAGCAGTATGGCAAAGCTTCTCTCAGATCTTAGTATGGACACTGCTCGCTGCAAGCCTGGGAATAATCTTACCAAATCACTTCTGAACATTTATGAAAAACAACCTCAGCATGACCCGATCCCTGCTCAAATTTCCATAATGAGCTACCTAAACAAGTTAGGCACAGATCCCTCTTTTACTCAGAGCCACTTTCTGAAACCAACAGTGAGGAGAACGTAGTGCCAGACAGGCCCTGTGAAAACGCTCTGCCTTCCAAAGGCCCTCAACATGGGGACCCCAGGAGTGTGGAGGAAGCATCGGCCCCTGGAATCATTTGTACCCTTCCAAAACAGGATTCTGATGAGGAGAGCAAAATTATGACTTTAATAGAAGGCAACTGCAATCTGGATAATACAATTTATATTTCGTTTGCCAGAAGTACTTCTAAAAGGAAATCACCGCTATCTAAGAGATTATCCCCCCAGCCACAGGTCAGTGTAAGTCCACCACCGCTGCCCAGCAGCAGTGCACCTGTCTCAGAAAAAGAAAGTAGATCGTGTGCACCTGGAGTTTGTTCTTCTTCCAAAAAGGAAGCAGAAGATGCACGTGAGAAACTTCCCACAACAGCTGAAATGGAGGACAAGCGGCTCCTCAAGGTAATAAAGGAAGCCATCTGCAAGATCTCTGCTGCCACTGCAGGGCCACAGGAGCCGGCCGCATGTCACGGCCCCTCCACTCGTCAGAGCGGCAGCTTTCAAGTGAACAGTAGTACTGTCTGTGATGGTAGCTTTTTAAACTCAGACTTGACGTCTGACTGGAGCATCTCTTCTTTTTCAACGTTCACTTCTCGTGATGAACAAGACTTCCGAAATGGCCTTGCAGCACTGGATGCCAACATCGCGAGGCTCCAGGAATCCTTAAGGTCCGGTGTTCTAGAGAAGTGAGCTCAGGAGAAGAAAAATGAGCATCTGTTTTTAAGAATAGAACTTGCATACATTGACTACATATTTTAAATTTTTGTATAGAGGAATGATGTTCTATATTAATTATGTGTGAAAAAATAAATTTAATCATAAATTTATTATTGGAATATATTGATACTGTGGAGCTTATAAAAACAGATCATCTTAAATTTACATTTGCTGAGAGAAGAAAGTTTTAGATAACTAGGGAAATAGTATAAGTAATATTTCATTTTAGTACTTATCAATTTCAGTTCTCTTATTATCCTGATGGGTGAAGGGTGCAGGTTGGAACAATTCTCTTAAGGATAATTGGAAGTGAGTCCCTGGGTACAGTTTACTATATTCAAACTAGAGTTTCTCATTTAGGATTCCTTTTTGTTTTTTTAATAGCATTGTGTTTCTTATATGGGATTCTCTGTGCTATAGGCTAGTGTTTTAGGTGAGTTGTATGAACATTTAAGATGGAAGTACTCCACCTCTTAAAAAAATTAAGTGGTCCACTAAAATACAGGTAACATCCTAAGTTAGCATATGGTTTCTTAAAGCTTTGGCACTTCTATTTACCTTTATCCTGAATGCATATTTAAGGTCATATAGCATAGAAACATAAGAGTTCAGTTAAATTTCAAGGTGGAATATGACCCTAACAAAATGGAAGAGACATTGTGTTTCATAGAAGTTTAGGGAAGGGGAAAGCCAAAACGTGGTAGGAGGAACCTAGAAGAGAAGCTTCATTTTTACTCAAAGAATGTATAGGCTTTGAATAATCCTATGAGTGTCCTCAAAATGTTGACCCCATAAACAGTATCACAAAATGTGGGGGCTGGTTCAGTGCAGTATTAAGAGGATGGTAAGCACACTAGAGAGAGAGAGAGAGAGAGAGAAGGAAAGAGATGCAGAGAAAGAGAAAGTACCTCTTCCTGGCTTTGTTGGAACACTGCTCATTCATTTACTTAGTGTCTATGGCTGCTTTGTGCTACAATGGCAGGGTGGAGTAGGTGTGACAGAGACCATAGGACCTGCCAAGTTAAAAATACCTACTATGTGACCCTTTACAAAAAAGGTTTGCTGACTTAGAGTAAAAACATCATAACTTCCTCTAATACTAGTGAGCTCTTTGTGCTTCTTCAGCTCTACGTTGTGCTTAATTATCCACAGAAACTATTATTCTGAAAGAAACCAAGGCTAGGGAGAAACAGTGGAAAAATTAGAACTGCAGCTTAGAGAATGACCAAAGCAAAAAGGCGGCAAGATACAAAAGAAATTGTAAAGCTGAAGAACAAGTCTGACTCTGGGGGGAGGTAGGAGGAGGTAAAGGGGGTGTAAATGGTGATGGAAAGAGACTGGACTTGTGGGGGTGAACACAATACAATGTACAGATGATTTATTTATTGTAGAATTACATACCTGAAACCTATATAAACGTATTAACCAATGTTAGCCCAATACAGTTTTTAAAAAATCTGAATTTCAGAAAATGGCTATAGATGGGAAATATACTCCTATATGTGTGTATTTATGTGTACAGAATCTATTCTGTATTTTATATATATTTATATTTGTATGTTTCTATATACACATTTTTCTGATTAGTATTTAGCAATACTAAAGTCACAATTGCCCATGCTAGAAGATTGATGTGTATAGTGCCCAAAAGAAATAAAGAAATCAATCAACATAACACATGAATAACAATAGAAATTTGAAATATGGAGAACAGGTGAATTTAGGGAAAGAAAATAGTTTAAGTGTTTCCATCATCTCCTTTTGATATTGACATGAGGGTACGGGCTTGAAAGTGGTATCTTTAATATCTCTATCCAAGGTGCTATATAATATGAAAGGGAAAGTCAAAGATAAATGCCACCCAATGAAACATGAAAATGTCAATTAAATTATTCTTGAGTTTTGCAGAGAAATTATTATTTTTAAGATTTTATTTATTTACTTTTAGAGAGGGGGAAGTGAGTGAAAAAGAGAGGGAGAGAAACATCAATGGGTGAGAGATACACATGCTCCCAACTGGGGACCTGGCCCACAACCCAGGCATGTGCTCTGACTGGGAATCAAACCAGTGATCTTTTGGTACACAGGCTGGCACTCAATCCACTGAGCTACACAAGCCAGGGCAAGCTTTTGCAGAGAAATTAAAGAGCCAGGTGAAAGCCACATGCCTCCTGCATTCGGCTAATTTTTTCCCAATCTTATCTTCTTCAGATTACTCCTCCCTACAACCCATGACACCATCTCACTCTATCTTGTACTCCCTACATACACACTCGCATGTACACACACATTTCATTCCATGCACAAGATTTTGCTCTTCATTCTCATGTATCCAGCAATTCCTGCCCTGTCCCCATCCCTAAGCTTCTGCTCAAAGGCACAGACATTGTTGCTTACCTACCCAAAATACATTCTGGCATGCCTTCTTACTACAAGGACTAAAATATTATTCAGGAGACTAATCTATCCACATAAATTATTTACTGCTAATATTGCAGCTAGGATGGCCATATAATTTGTTTCTTGTCATGAGATATGACTCAGAGAAAGTGTGCTAGAGAGTTGGCAAGGGGGAGTATTTGCCCTTCTAATATACACCCTGCCTTTCCCTTACATCCTTTCTTAAAACAAGGAGAGAACATCATCCTCCCCGACATGCCTTTCTTTTTGATCTGCTCTCCTTCCTTTCTTCTTTTTCCTGCCTACTTCACAAACAGGAGACCTGAGGTGGGGCAAGAAATTTGGGAGCATGAGGCAACAAAACAATGAGCTGAGAATGGAGAAACAAAAAGAGAAAACAAGCCTGGGACATTGATGATACCTTGAAGCTGTTGCATCAGGCTGGGACTATTTGTTATGTGAGAAGAATAAGCCTACATTTAGTTAAGGTCCGATAGTCAGAGTTATGTAATGAGAAGCCTAATGCAACTAATTGTCACATTCATACTCTTCCTTCTACCATAAGTCACTCTCTCCCTACTCCATAGCCAGTTCTTTTTTTTCTCTTTTTTTAAAATTAATTTTATTTAGTTATTTTTCAAGTACAGTTTTTTGTCTATTTTTCCCATCCCAGCCTCCCCCGCCCCTTGCTCCCCACCTCCCTCCCTTTTCCACCCCCCCTTAGTTCTCGTCCCTGTGTCCTTCCTATTTGTTCCTCCAAATCCCTCCCCCTTTTTCCCCTTAACTTCCCTTCCTTCTCCCCTCTGGTCACTATCCCCTTGTTCTCTATTTCAGTGTCTTTGTATTTTTTTTCTGCTTGCTTGTTTGTTTTGTTGTTTAGCTTCCTGTTAAAGGTGAGATCATATGGTATTTGTCTTTCAGCACCTGGCCAATTTCACTCAGCATAATGCTTTCCAGTTCCATCCATGTTGTTGCAAAAGGTAGTAGCTCCTTCTTTCTCTCTGCAGCATAGAATTCCATTGTGTATATGTACCACAATTTTTGGATCCATTCATTTACTGACACGCACCTAGGTTGCTTCCAACTCTTGGCTATTGTAAATTGTGCTGCTATGAACATTGTGGTGCATAGGTTCTTTGAAATTGATGTTTTAGGATTCTTGGGATATAATTCTAGCAGTGGAATTGCTGGGTCAAAAGGCAGGTCGATTTTTATTTTTCTGAGAAAATTCCATACTGTTCTCCATAATGGTTGTACCAGTCTGCAATCCCACCAACAGTGAACTAAGGACCCCTTTTCCCCACAACCTCTCCAACATTTGTTGTTTATTGCTTTGTTTATGATAGCCATCCTGACTGGTGTAAAGTGGTATCTCATTGTGGTTTTAATTTGCATCTCTCTGATAGCTAACGATATTGAGCACCTCTTCATGTGTCTCTGGATATTCTGTATGTCCTCTTTGGAGAAGTGTCTCTTCAAGTCCTTTTCCCATTTTTTAATTGGGTTCGATGTCTTCCTAGAGTGGAGTCTTGTAAGTTCTTTGTATATTTTGGAGATTAAACCTTTGTCTGAGGTATCATTGGCAAATATGTTTTCCCATACAGTTGGTTGTCTTTTTAATTTAATACTGTTTTCTTTGGCCATGCAGAAGCTTTTTATTTTGATGAGGTCCCATTTGTTTATTCTTTCCTGTATATCCCTTGCTCTAGGGGACATATCAGTAAAAATGTTGCTGCATGGAATATCTGAGATTTTCTTGCCCATGTTCTCCTCTAGGACTTTAATGGTGTCATGGCTTATATTTAAGTCTTTTATCCACCTTGAATTTATTTTGGTGTATGGTGTAAGTTGGTGCTCAAGTTTCATTTTTTTGCACGTAGCTGTCCAGTTCTCCCAACACCATTTGTTGAAGAGGCTATCTTTACTCCATTTGATGTTACTGCCCCCTTTGTCAAATGTTAATTGACTGAAAAGAGTTGGGTTGATTTTTGGGCTCTCTGTTCTGTTCCATTGGTCTATATGCCTGTTTTTATGCCAGTACCAGGCTGTTTTGATTACAGTGGCTTTGTAATACAGTTTGATATCAGGTATTGTGATCCCTCCTACTTTGTTCTTCTTTCTCAAAAGAGCAGTTGCTATTCGGGCTCGTTTATGGCTCCATATAAATTTTTGAAGTGTTTGTTCTATGTCTGTGAAATATGCCTTTGGTACTTTAATAGGTATTGCATTAAATCTGTATATTGCTTTGGGTAGTATGGACATTTTGATGATGTTAAGTCTTCCAATCCATGAACAAGGTATATGTTTCCATTTGTTTGTGTCTTCCTTGATTTCTTTCTTCAGTGCTGTGTAGTTTTCTGCATACAGGTCTTTTACCTCCTTGGTTAGGTTTATTCCCAGATATTTTATTTTTCTTTTTGCTATATCAAATGGGATTTTTTCCTTGATTTCTGCTTCTGCTGATTCATTGTTCGTATATAAAAATGCCTTTGATTTCTGGATATTGACTTTGTATCCTGCTGTTTTGCCAAATTCATTAATTAGTTCGAGCAGTTTTTGGGTAGAGTCTATAGGATTTTCCATGTACACTATCATGTCATCTGCAAACAGTGACAGTTTTGTTTCCTCCTTTCCTATTTGGATGCCTTTTATTTCCTTTTCCTGCCTGATT